ACAGTCAGATTAATTCAAAGTTTTCTATCTAAGCAAAACAAGCTGATTGCCTAGACCAGGGGTGGGCAACTCCAGGGGTGGGCAACTCCAGTGTTCTGAATTACCCATGAATTCAGAACATTTATCAGTTTTTTAAACTCAGGCAGCATAATTTTGCACCAATGCTTTTATATTCGATTCTAAAGATGCACTGCCTTACTAGAATAGTTATTTAAATCACGGGAAACTGTTGATTTCATGCACATGGTCTTTTAGCTTGTCAAGCGAAGCAGAATGTCGAGCCTCTCTGACATTTAGGCCACAGCTGCAGGAGAAACTGAAGCAACCTTCAGGTGTGATGAAAAGGATTTTTGGCGCCTGCTTTCATATAAATAACCTGCCGGGTGTTTTCGGAACATGCGGGCAGGTTGCAGGATGACAGATAGTCCATTTGAGTCAGCCTTAACAAGTCACACCGCTGGCTGTCGCTTCTGTGTCCGCCTCGCTGCCTGATGAATCTAAAATAGTGTTTTGGCCTCATGCCTCATAGAAACCCAAGTCTGAAAATGAATAATTCATGGAGGAAAGCACAAATAAAGTAACAAACAATGAAATAGACCTTGGACAGAAATTCATCTGTTGTTCTTTATCTATCACTCACAATTATGTGTTCAGCCACTGCTGAAACAAAACCAAGGTGTTTTTTTTTTTTCAATTCTAACAAGAATGCAGTATAAGATAAATCATACTTATTCAAGAATCACACCAGTTTTATTGGTGACATTTGAGAATAAAAACAAGAAATTTAACTTTGCTATGTGTGTTAAATCATTACTATTATTAGATTATACTCACTATGGATTAAAAATTGTTTATCAAACCACAAAGCAAACATTTTTAACCTCTTCTCTTGGCTACCAGTCCTAATCCCTGTTGGAGGTAAATAATATGTACAGTAAATAAACCATGCATGGAAACTGATGGAGGGATAGATGAAGGGATGGATGGATGGAAATGCATGGATGAATCTGAAAGAATAGATGGGTGGATCAATAAATCTTTCTACTGATGAAAGGATTTATAATTCTGTCCTAGGGCTGACCAATATATCAAGATTGTAATAATATCACAATTTTTTCCAAAAGAGATAGATGAGTGTATACCATTACAACAACATTAAATAACCCCAGAAAATGGCAAACTGCAGTTTGGCTTTTATGAGTTGTTTTCAACAGTGGGTTCCTCCTTGGTCTGACACGGTTGTTTCTTGAGCCTGAAGTTAAACTTTAATCTCTTGAGAAGATTTTTTGGGCCCCCCCCCTTTTTTTTTTTTTACCATTATTATTATCATCCACCTCTGTGATTTGGCATCAATTTTCCTTCTACGACCACATCCAGAGAGGTTGGCTGCACTCCCATGGATTTAAAATTTCTGAGTAATATGTGCAGCTTTAGTCACAGGAACATTAAGCTGCCTGGAGTTGATTTTATGGCCTATATAAAACTTTCTATAACTTTCTAATCTCCAGAGACAACTCTTTCCTTTGCTTCTACTGGTCTGTGCTGAGTGTGGTGCACACCATGTCACAAAACAGTACCGTAACTACCTGTAGTCCTCTATATAGGCCCACTGACTGATTACAGATTGTAGAGACCTCTGATGTTAATTAGTGGAAACACTTTGATTTAACATGCCCCTTTATTTGGTCACAATAAAGGAACGTGCCTTTTTAGGGGTACCATCCATTTTGTACAGGCCTGTTACATTAGTTGTTTTTTTTATCGTTCTGTAGAAACATGATTGAAAAGTAATGTCTGCGTTTAATTTTTTCAATTTCATGGGTTTTTTAATTATTACTTTATAGACAGATTGAAGTTATTTCTGTGACCATTGTGGCTTTTTGCTTTTATTAAAGCTACAGTGTGTAATAATTACAGGGATATACAGTCAGAAATGTAATATATTATACATAACTATGTTATTTTATCATCATCTACGAGCTCAGCCTCTTAACCTTAATATTTGCGTTGCCTTAGAATTCGTTATTTATAATTACATAGGAGCAGGTCTCGCAGCCATGGAGACAGACATCTTTGCGCTACGGCAGCGCAGAGCCAACAAACTAGTGATTGCGAGATCGCCAAAACGTCACAATGATTTAGAAAAAATAACGGGTATATTTATTATCTTAAGTCTACATGAAATCTATACCCTACACAGACTAATGAAATACTATCTGTAAAATTATCTATGTAAACAAACCTCATCACTTGAGAAGGTAGGTGATGCGGACGTCGTGGAAGACATTTTGTCCCGTAACGCTCGCCGTACTGTTGGGGGGGGGGAAGCAGTGGGGGGGGAGATGTTGATGTTGCTGCAGTCTGACCGCTGATGTCGCTAAAAGTTACACACTGTAGCTTTAAACGAGTACCAAAAAAAAACAATTTCATGTGTGTCTACATATAACAACTGAATCAACCCTAAACTGATGTAAAATTAAGCTCAATACTGATTAAAAATTTCTAAGTAAACGTAAAAACAGAACCCTCCTGTTTTTGTGTGTTTCAGATGCATCTAATGCTTTTGACCCAGGTAACCATCAGAAACTGTTTATTAAACTACTTTTCCTATATCAAATGGCACCAGACAAGTTGTAATTTTTGTTGTGCTTTTTAAATTGTGCTTTGATTTATCTGTTAAACTACCATCTTGTAAATCATTTCATGTATGCAGATAATCTGGTCCTCTTGTCCCCCAACAGTGCAGCCTTGTAGCAGTTGCTAAGGGTCTGTGCTAGATATGGTTTGACAACATATTTAAACATAAAAAGACTTTTGTCATGGTTGCTATAACTAAGGTGGATCAAAAGATAAATGTTCTATTTTATAGCGAATCAAGTTTGGGTTTGGCGTGAAATACCTAGGTTTTATTCTGTGGAGTGATTGTATTATTTTTTATGATAATATAAAGCGACTGTTCTGAGAGTTATATAGTCAAGCTAATATGTTGGTGCGTAAATTTAGCATGTGTTCAAATGAGGTTAAAGTGTCCTTTTTTCACTCTCTCTGCACCTCAATTTTAACGGCTCACCTGTGATGTAAAACTAAAACTATAATGGAAAAACTGCAAATAGCCAATTAGGATGCTTTTTGTAATGGATATACCTTTTTTACTTGTTAATTGATCGATTTATCTGTTTTTCTTTAAACGGTAGGGACAACTTTTTGTCTGAAAATAAATAAAGACCATTTATATCGAGATGGTCTACTTTGCAATTTGGTAAATGCTAATATGTTATTTTTCAGAAATAATCTCGTGGTAAACAGCTGTTAAAAAATGTGTCTGACATTGGGGACTAAGCTTAGATTCAGAGTTGTCTTTTTATGATTACCTTATGGAAAGATGTATTTATACATACCATATATTGCCCTGCCGTTTATAAATACCAAGACATCGCTATGGATGGATGATGCTTTGAGTTACTACATGCAGAATGGAGTCAACATTATTTTAAATGTAGTAGGAATGTGAAAATGGAATCCTTCCAAACCCAATGTGGGAATAAAAAATAAATACTCAATACCATTTTTGTTAATCCAGCAAAAATGAAGAAAATGGTGAGGAAACTGCAGTGAAGGGATGGATATAAAATGGTCAGTGTTAATCTTAACTGGTCTATATACAGTGCTGGATGTATACAGTAATATCACCTTTTTATGTGTTTCTATTATCATGCAATCATAAAAGGTTTCATGCCAATTGATTTTACTGCAATGTTTGAGGCTACCGAAAGGGTTGGTAGTCAGGAGCGTGTTGAATATCTTATAAGTCATTGAATTTAAAACCAAACAAAAGAGAAGGAGGTGAAAAAAAAAACAATATGTGTGTTAAAGGTGACCCACTCACCTATTTATGATAATAATCTACTCTAAATTCATGAACTATTGGAAATGATTCCTCAATATGCAAATTGAAACTTAAAAACTTGCTTATTTTTATAAGCGTTAATATGCAAAGAGTATTATTGCTTTTTGTTGTTTGTAGTATAACACTGGAAGTGTCCTAAGCTGGTGGTTTTTAGTTGTTTTTATCATAAGGAGAGAAAGGTGTTTCCTTGGAGCATGCAGGGCCTGCAGCCTGCAGGACGCTGATGGATGAGGGAGGTTCAAGCAGGAGGCTGCTCCGCTCTGGATGGTTGGTCACTCTAGAACCTTCTGTAATATCATAGTAAAACCTCTTTCATTATAGAAGGTTGCATTTTGTTTGTGAAACATCCTGCTTTAACTTTTTTTTTACATAAATGAACAAATAAAGGTAAGCTTATCACATCTTATACCAGTTCCATAAAGTTGTCTCCTATAAGAAATCTTAAATGTCTTTTAAGTTTAAAAAACAAAAAATGGTGTTCAAGTCAGACATATCCATCCTGCTACTTAACTTTTCTAGTAGTTGTGGCTTTGATGCCAATAACCTTTAATTTGACCACATTTCTTGTGTGAGCTTTCTCTTAAATGTTTGTTTACTACTTTTTTAATTTCGGTGGTCAGCCTAGTTTTCTCCTCTTCAGCAATAAGCTTCTCTTTAAAGATGAAAGAGAAACATACATGGTGTCCAGTTATAGGAGGGGTTTATATTTTATCTTAATATGTCCAACATTGGTATCAGTGTCATATCAGACTACACCACTGTGCTGACGACTCTATGGATGCATGATGTGGATTATTTTCTATTTCTCACCATCTGCTGCCATCTAGAGGTTGTTGAGATGCTTGGTTTGAAAACAACTTGGAAAAAATGTTAAAATCACTGACTGTTGATATTTAGGCTTTTACCCATAATTTATGAATTACTTCAACCTTGTCTGACTTAAATTGTTTTTTACAATCAAACCTGGATCCGTACAGCTTAGGCTGATTTTTTTTCAGCAAACTAATGTTTGCTGAAAAAAGAGCAAATAACCAGGAGAAAAGGAGAAAATAATCACATTTCCTTTTGGCTTACTTTTTTCCTTTCTTCACAGCTGTTCACTGCAACTTGAGCCAAAATGGTATTGACCACCAGCTGCGTCCTGAAGACATGACATCTCAGCTGGAGGAGGACGAGGAGTTGGTGAACTGTGAGACTCTCCTGCTGGACGATGACAGCCCAAGCTACCCCGATATCCCCCGGCCTTCGTACCACCGCCGTTCCCCACCACACCGCTCTGTCTCCGAGTCCGAGCTGACCCGGGTAAGAGCCCTAACCATAAAACAAGGATGGAGATTTAAGAGTTTTTTTTTTTTTTTTTTACATTTGTTTTTTAATGTGTTTTAAGCATTCTCTTACTTGTTCTGTTTTCCACCCTCTACCATAATGCACTAAGTTTCTGTGCACCTTTGGATGTACAACACTGCTCAAATCACAGCTTTAACTCTGAATGAACCAGGAAAGAGGCAGATAAAAGCTGCTTTGCAAGTCTGTCAGCTGCTACGTGTTTAGATCTGTTATCAGGAACACAGAGTGATCCTTTACTGCCTCTCCAGAAATAGCCTGATGCTGGAATGGAGGCAGGAATGACTGCTTATTTTACAAAGTCTCACACTCATGAGTAAAATATCTGTCGGTCTGAGCAAGAGGAAGTACTTAAAGGGAGAGGAGGGCTCTGTGTAAATCTTTGAGGGGCCAGAATTAGCCCAGAAGTTTAATACAGTTGCACTTCCCTTTCAGGATCCTTTTTGCTAAATAGGAGTAACTTAAGAGGCCATTGTTTATCATTCTTAACTAGATAATCTGGGTATGAACATAATCTGGTTAGAGGACAGTGGCAGCCTAGTGGTTAGGGCATAGAGCTTGGAATCCTGAGGTATGGGAGTTAGAAACCCACTCCCACAGACTGCCACTCTGGGTGTCTGAGCAAGACTCTTAACCCCCGATTTCTCCCCGGGTGCCCCACAATGGCAGCCCACTGCTCCCCAAGGGGATGGGTTAAATGCAGAGGTACACTTCTCCAATGTGAGATCAATTAAAGTTAAATTATAAAAGAAAAACAAGAAAAAGAAAAAGGGTAGGTGGTGATTTTAGGATTATCCAGAATCTTCAGAGAAAAGCCCAGAAAAAAAAGGTTATGATTAAAAATAGCAATTATTCTCACTCTTAGTCACATGGCTAAAATGGGTCATTAAAAAAAAAAAAAAAAAAAAAAAAAAACTATGATCACCAGGTTGCATTGTCAGACATTTTTTATGATGTTAAATAAATAAATAGGTTGAACTCTCAACTCTCTGGATCTAACCCATTACCTTGGGGAGCAGTGGACTGCCACTGTGCAGCGCCTGGGGAGCAGTGTGGGGTTAAGGGTCTTGTTCAGAGACCAAGATGGCTGGCTGTAGGGATCGAAGCAGGTACTTGCAACCTTCTCAGAGCACAAGTACATTGCTCTAACTACTAGGCCAACACTCCAAAGTTGTTTAGTCTGCATTAAACATTCCTGTGCAGTCTGACATTTTGACTTCCTCAAATGAGAAATGAGACATGTTGTACATACATCAAGGAAAAATGTATTAATCAGCATGTTTCAGAATAAACATGCATGCACAATAAAATGTTGAATTGTAGAGTAATGCACTTCATCTAAATTTTAGAAGCCCTTCATGAAGATTGAAAGCCTTTTTCAAATATTAATTTTAACGATTATATTAGACTGGCTGATGCCTTAATTTGATTAAATTCATAAATTAGTCTTGCTGTTCATTAAGATTTAATTGGTGAAAATCTGGATTATTTTCCATGTATACACTCCTTGGATCCCCTAAGTTCAGAACAATGCCAGCCTCTTAGATGTTTACTATTATATTTCTAATTGTGTAACACCACAATATCTGTTGTGTTTTTGTTTCACAGGCTTGTTAACAGCTTCTATATAGTTTAACTTTGAATTCAGGTCAACTCTCAGTAGGTATAACAGAAATAAAGATACATTTTTTAAAATTGATTTCTGTCATTTATAGTTTTATTCATTGAAACAATTTGATTCTTTATTGAAGACTAAAGTTTAATTCTGACATGTTTGTTGAACGAAATCATGGGGAAGTAGGTTAAATGGAAGAAGTTTAATGGAAGCTAAATGTAAAGTATATCCATTCTTCTCATTAATCCAAATATGCCGTGTCATCATCCTGCAAAGACTTCCCTTCTTCTTATTAAACTTTTTAAAAGGCAGTAAGTTCCAGTTGCAGATCATATGACGTGTTTGATGTGAAAAACGTGTTTCCATTGCAGTTCTGCAAAATACAAGCAAAAAAAACAAAAAAACATCAAAGTGTTAATACTTTTTACTAAAAATATATATTTTTTTGAAATATCAGTGTTTGGATCTAGCAACTTAATTTTGGTAATTACAACTTTTGCAATTTGATGGTTAATGGAAAAGCAGCTACTGACGGATAGGGTTGTCAAAAGTATCGAAACTCAAAAAAGTATCGATACTTACATGTTCTATCCGGATACAATACTCGTTTTTAAAAGTATCGATACAGTGCCACCACCAGTGGCACCTAAGCAGTCATTCATCTAAAGTGCAGAATAGAGGACAATGCACATTCAGAACACTGTGTGATTGAATAATTCTGTGCACTTTTCAGTTTCAGACTATTTTTTTTGTAAGAGGTTCAGCTGCTGAGAATTATTTTAGTTTCTTAACCGGTTTGGTTGGTTTTATTGTTATGTGTGCAAAGCATAGCCAAGGAAGGAACACTTAATTTTAATTTTATACGTTTTTTATCAAGCTTGCTTAATATTGTGCACAGCATACAACCTTTATTGTATTTATTTATTGTATTTTATTTGTTAATGAAAATATTTCTGTAGAATTTTGGATTCTTTGTTTTTATCCTTGTGGTATCGAGAATAGTATCGAGTATCGAGTATTTTCCTTAGTATCGGTATCGAGTTGAAAAGTTTAGTATCGTGACAACCCTACTGACGGATAAACAAAACTTTCAGATGCGTCTCAGTTGTGTGAAATGGACCTTTATCATTGACAGATTGGAGCCAAAAATCTGCTATCTAGATCAGCTATGCATTTACAAACTATTTACAAACAAAGTCATATACTCCCTATTTTAAGGGAAAAACAGCTGCTTTTTATTGTAAAAGCAGCATCAGGATTCTAGCACAGTAACTGAACCACTAGAGATACAGACTTAAACCCCTTTTTCTAGAGACTATTTGTGCAGAATTTAATCTAAGTTCAAAACCTCTAACCGCTGTGGTAGCAGAAAGTACCAGCATGCTGCTGCAGCACATTTTACATGCCTGACTTTGGGATGACCTGTGGTTGTCCCACCTTTATTATGAGAATGGGAACATTGAATTTTTGGGTTTGAAACAACTGGAAATGTTGGAGAGCAAAGAGGCCTGTTTAAGTTTACAAGCTGCAAAGGATGCCAAAGTCACGTGAAAAACTTGGGGACCCTAGAGAACTGCTCAACAAAATCACAAGGATGGGTGCTTAAAAATAAAATATCAAACATTAGCTCTGGTTTAAAAAATTGGTTCTATAATGTGTAACTGATCCGACTGTGCTTGGCATCTCAGTGTCAAGTGTCTGCATTAGAGTTAACATTCAAATTCTTTTGGAGAGATTCCAGCAGATCAAGTGCATCAATGCTTAAATTATGAATAATGGTAATGTGTTCCATTAGCAATGCGGCCTCTTGGCTAAAAGCATTTATTAATACATGCAGAGGCTGAGCTAAACCAAGCCAAAGCATGTTAAGGTCAATTAAAGTCACAGTGACACAACTGAGGCTCCAGTGATGTGCAGGTATTAAAGAACGCCGCTCCGTTTAGCTGGTGCTGCGCTTTGAAATGTAATTTCAAACTTAATCCATCTAATCTGATGTAGTGTTGGAGCATATAATCTAATATAGGAACAGGGCGTTCTCTTTGGGATGGGATACTTTAGTAAATGTCAGATGTTTAGATTGTTAGATAAGTGTTGCATTTGCATTTTTTATTTTTCTACAAAGCGTACTAGTTTTTGCTCTCTTTAACCCATGAATTAGTTCATATTTTATCCAGCTACAGCCAGACATCTCTATCTACAATGAAGTGGAAGGAAAATGATCCATTCCTGTCAACTGATTAAGTCTAATAGGAGATGCAAGTCTTTTGGACATTGCATTAAATGCAGACAGGTCTGTTAGCATCTATTTACAGTATAACTCTTGTCACAGATTCAGGTCTGGGCTTTGACTAGGCCGTTCTAACCCACTAATTGGTTTTGATGGCTGGATGATGAACACATGCTCCAAGACTTTTGTATCCTCTAAGGTTTCTGGTCCAACCATCATCCTATCGACTCTTTCCAGCCCTCCTGTCCTCTCTAAAGTATCCTCGTGGCATAATACTGCCACTGCCATGGGTCCAGCTGTTAGATTCAGGGTGCAGTTTCACTCTGCACAGGAACGCATTAAATCAAATGTTTTTGTTTTAAATGTGGTGTAATACAATGATAATAATCCGAGAAGAAAAATAAAAAACAGGTTTATAGAATGCAGGGCTTTTCAGTTTCAAGATAACTCAAAATAATTCAAATTAGAAAAAGATAAATCATTTAAATTATTTGTTTTTGAAATTATTAAAACAATAATTAAAAGTTTGGTTAGTAGAAAGCCATATAATGCATTAATGCATAATTTCAGACTTTGTGGCAGAACCAAAAATCCTTTTGGGAACACCTGGAGCATTATGTTTTCAATTAGGATCTGAATGGAGGGAATGTGTCGAATCTATTTCATTATGAAACTTGATAAATTCACTGCTAAGAAATTAACGGCCTCTAACCCAACAATGACACAGCATTTCCTGTCATCATCTCAGTATTTAGATTTCAGCTCCATAAAAAACTTGGAGCTCCATAAAATGTGCAGCTCCACAACAATGCAAAACGTTGCTACACTCAGTGTTCAGTGTCACCTTTAAAAAAAAAATCTGTAATTGATACAGGGTAGGGCTTGCAGCCGTTGCCAGTATCACTCTGTACATCTTTTGGTTATTTAATACTTCACTTTTTTGTTGTTGTCTTAAAATACACTACGTAAAGTGAAAATGTTTTTTTGTGTGTGGAAAATGGATGTTTAATTTTATTTTTTGGATAACACAAAATAAAATGACTGTAAAAACAGAAACCAATAAGACTTCAGAGACCCAATGTGACCCAAATTTGCTCCTGCTGCTTAGTCAAAGAA